CGCCGATGAAGGACCCGTCCTCGCTGAACAGGCCGTGGTCGCCCTCCCCGTAGGCCACCAGGCTGTCCGCGCTCCCCGTGGCCTCCGTGCCTCTGGCCAGCGACCGGACGCTTCCCTTCAGAGGCTTTTCGTCACTGTCGCTGGAAAACAATGGAAAAGAAACTGCATAAAACCCGCCACGGAAAATTCCAGTAAAGCCAGACTCCTGCGTGACTGCTACAGAGTCTGAGACTTTTCAGGATCTCCCGCGAGCACGGCAGACAGACAAGCCCTCAGCAACGCTCTCGCGGACGCGCGTGTGGACCGTCGCCGTGTGCGTGTCGCCCGTGGTGCCCGGCCCCTCTGTGCACGCGGAGCGGCGGGCCTCGGCCCTCCGTCTTACCTCTGTGAGCCCCCAAACCCTTCCGGAATGTCCCGTCTGATCAGATTACTCAATCCAATTCTGTTTCTCGAAACCCTAGAATCTCCTTTCCTTTAGTTTATGAACTTGGGTTTGTTAAAAAAAAAATGCAGCTGGCACTTTTAGACCATAAATGCACAAGTGACCTGTGTCCACGCTCCGGCTTTATCCCCAACAAAAGCAGCTCTGTCTGTGACATAACGTGGTCTCCCCAGGTTCTGAGCGAAGTTTTAAGACCAACAACTGTCGTGCTGTAAAGTTGTGTGATGTTCAAATCCTTGAGAAACGAAGGACTTGGGAAAGCTGTAATCGGGCCGGACTAGCACCTGACGCTTCGCGGCGGCCACCGCGCCGCTCCTGCAATGGGTCCTGGACGCGCTTCCTGCACGCGTGGCAGGGCGGCCCTTCCCTGCCCGCAGGTCGCCATGGGACACGGTTGGGCCAACGGGGACAAAGGGGACACATGTCACTTCAGAGCCAGCGCTCATCCTCCATGCTCTCCCTCTGCTGGGGCGATCTGGATGCCCCCCGTCCTGCCACCGCCCCTACGTGACAAAGTGACCCGAGAGAACCATGGCTTCGGAGTCGTCCGTGACGGCAGCGTAACTCAGGCTGTCCTGACGATCGCTGGCTCCCGTGATGACAAAAGCACCGGGAGGAGCCACAGGAGTGAGAATCCGGTCACGGGGCACAGCGCCCAGCGAAGCCTCCTCCCAGGACGACCGGGGGCCGGGGCCGTGTAACTGATGCCCCTGAGCTTTCAGCGGGAGAGCGTGAAACACGCATCGACGGCTCTGAAGCAGCCGTCCCCAACCTGTCTGACGCCAGGCACCGGGGCTCCCGTGAGCATCCAAGCCCTGATGTGAGGCGGCGCTGAGGGGTGACGCCGGCGCCGGGGAGCGGCCGCAGACGCACGTGGAGCTTCGCCCGCCCGCCCGCCGCTCACCTCCCGCTGTGCGGCCCGGGTCCTGACGGGCCAGGGACCGGTACTGGTCCATGGTTCGGGGGTTGGGGCCCCCTGCTATAAAGGGACACAGGTGAGGTGGTTCGGGGGTGATTTACCTATTTCCTGCCCAGCACTCACCAGCTGCGAGCCCACCTCCTGTGGCTGCCAGAGTCCCTGGAGGGAGCCACCGCCCGCTTTTCTGCTTGGTTATCGTACTTAATTGATCCTAGTCATGAACATGGCGGAGTTTGCCTTCCGCGGGCCAGGTCCGCGGGGGGACACGGTGTGCGCCTTGCTCCCCTTCGCAGGCGCACACAGCAGGTGCATGGGACACCTGTGTGTGGAGGTAAACGGAGCCCCCCCCGGGCTCACGGCAGCCATGCTGAAGACGCTTAGGTAAACCAAGAGACGGTCACCTGACAGAACTGCCCTTGCCCGACACTCACAGGACGCCTCCCGCATCGTCCAGACGCCCCGGCCCACACGCGGGACGCCGGCTGCCGCCCCGCCAGGCCCGGGGACCCGATTCTGAGAACGAGCACGTGCGCCGTGCAGCCAAGCCCGTGACCCGGGACACGCTCCGCCCCAGCGCAGGCGACTGCCACGTTTAAGCCCGTGACCCGGGACACGCTCCACCCCAGCGCAGGCGACTGCCACCTTTACCTGTAGTCGCCGAAGGTCTCGTCTTTTCCTGACTGGACCTCTGGGTCTGGGTGCAGGTCTTCCTTTTCTTTCACTGACAAGAAAAACGCAGGAGAAAGTCATGCACGTAACAAAAAAAACGTACCGGCCGAGGCGAGAGACGGCCGATCCCCCAGCCCTGCTCGCCCCCGCCGCTGCGGGCGGGCCGCGCTTTCTGTGGCTGAACCTACAGCCCGTCCGAAATCTCTGTAAGGACAAAACGGACGTGTGGGTCCCCTGCCGCACAGTAGACTCTGCCGCAGCCACCCGCGACCACAGGATGACGAGACCCGCTGGGAGTCTCGCTTGGCTGTGGCCCAAGCAGGTCGGTGACCGACACGCCTGTCACTGTGCGAACCGCCCTGACGGGGCCGGAGGCTCGCACCAGCTCTACGTCGCTAAACTGGACAGCGAGAGTCAACGTTTGGTCGTTCTCTGCTTCCTCTTTCTCAGAATTGCCCCATAATCATCACGCGGGTCGACAGTGACCCTTGACGTCAGCCTTTCGCATGGCCCTGGGCTGCTCGCAGACACCCGGGGGGAAGGGTGTCACTTTGCTGTCCTGCAGGGTGAAGCGATGGCCTCATTCTCCTTCAAGGGCATCGTTTGAGCAGCTCTTTTAGAATTTGGATGGGGCCGCACTTCACGGTGACCGGTGGGGGACACTCGAAAGGGAATGCTGGCTCTCTGTGATCTTCCAATTAATCACCCAGAACACTGTGAGTCCGTGAAAATCTAATTCATAATGATTCAGTCTCCGTAGGGAAAAATGAGATGTATAATTACATAAATTTTCCATGTAATTTTACAAAAATTTTGAAATTATGCTTGTTTGTTTGCTCAAAATATATAACGGGTTCCCACTAATATTTGCTGAATGAGTCAGAAGTCAATGAACTTTCACTAATCTGAACCTCATCAGAATACACTCAGTGGGATCTAAATCTTTCCCCCAATATAAAAGCATCCTGAACACTAAGAAAAAAATAGCACCAACACAATATGTTTATCGGAAAAAGATGAGCTTGGAAACTGAATGAAACTAAAGTGAAGACAACCATCGGATTAACTCAGATGGTTTTTATTTATTTAATTCAGGGCAATGTCGTCACGGTCACAAGCGCAGTGCCCGCTGTGGTTACCCCTCACGCAGGTGACCGGCGGACAGGCCATCAGAACACAGTGGAGCAGAGCAGTCCCTGCGTCACGAACGTGGAGAGAGGCAGCCGTGAATGGGCCCGTCCACGTGTGCGACTTAGAAATAAGTCTTTTCAACATCTCTGCGATTTTACGAATAAAAAAAGCTCGGAAGCATCGTCAGTCTGGTCAGACCCTGTCTTAAGCACTAATAACTAGTTAGTGGGCAACCGCCTGCATGCGGGACTCTCCAGCGGTCCCCAACCCTGCCGACACAGGGCCCGGCGCTCCTGCGAGCATCTAAGGCCTGACGAGCTGAGGCGGGGCTGAGGCGGTGATGCCGGCGCCGGGGAGCGGTGCAGACACAGATGGAGCCTGGCTCGGTGGCCCGCCGCTCACCTCCTGCTGTGCGGCCCAGGTCCTAACAGGCCACGGACTGGACCGGTACCGGTCCCTGGCCTGAGGAGAGGGGCCCCTCCTCTAGGCCACATACTGCCTTTGGTTAGTTAATACAGGAATACTTTGTCCCTCACCTAATATGCTAATAGAAATCTGATTTGAAGGTGTCACTAAAAAAACGAGACGTTTCTGAAGAGAGCCTCTCAGAAGACACCATGTAATGAATATTAAAAGACAACTTGATTCGTCTGTTGCTTTCTGTTCTACATCCCACAGTTGGGGGAAATCTCACGGTGCTTGTCCTTTTCTGTCTGACATGTTTCACTTAGCATGACACCCCTAAGGTCCGTCCACGCTGTCACACTGAGCGATATTCCATCGTACACACGTAGCACGCCCTTCCCGTCACAGACGGCAGGATCTCGTCTCTGACAGCTGGGCGATATTCCATCGTACACACGTAGCACGCCCTTCGCCATCGAAGAGCCTCGGGCTGCTTCCGCGTGTGCCGCGACCCCAGTCCCCGTACACAGAGGGACAGGCGTTACCTGAGTACTTCCCACCTCTGTTCCTCTTCACGAAGCACACGGTCAGCAGCGTGAGCGTGAGGACCGCGACGGCACACATCAGCCCGATGAACCAGCCTTGCGTGGCGATGTCATCGTACAGGCCAGCGTACCCTGCCGCACAGAGAGGAGGCTCATGCTCGATGCACGAGGCAGCCCCCCGGACGACGCCCCTCGGGGCGAGTGAAACATCACTTTCAAACACACACGAGAGCATCAGTTTTGTGGTCCCCCCGAGTGACCCTCAGGGCACGTGACTGGAAGGATGTTTCGTGGGGAGGACACTGATCAGTGTCCAGACTTTATTCAGAAAGGGCCCTGTCCGGTCGCGTTTGGTTCTGAGGATGGAACCCAGAGAGGAGGGTGCAGGCGGGTGAGGTTAGCCGGCAGCAGCAGCAAGAGCAGCAGCAGCAGCAGCACAGGCCGCCTCGGTTACCATAGGCCGCCCTGGTCACAGACCACTGTGGTCACCGTGGGTTGCCTTGGTTACCGCAGGACGCCATGGTTACCGTGGGTTGCCGTGGTTACCGCAGGCTGCCATGGTTACCGCAGGTTGCCATGGCGTCGCCGGGTTCTGATTGTTTTGCTTTTTAGTTTTTTTGTTATTCACATGTTAATGAGCGGGGACATTTTTAGGCAGCCACACATGGCAGAAACAGGAAGGGGAGCTGGACCTTTGTAGAACGTTTTTCCTTTTCACGGTTTTAAAATGCTGGGCCGAAAGAAACTGAAACGATCGTTTTTACAGGAGCGGCCTCCATGTGCTCTCCCTCTAACGCGGGAAGTCTGCGCGGGTCCGTGGTCGACGGGGCGCGGAGGGGGCGCCTGGCGCCGCCCCGCGCGGATAAGTGGTCGACGGGGCGCAGAGGGGGCGCCTGGCGCGCCCCGCGCAGCCTCGCGTCTCACCTCTCCCTCTCGCCTCGATTACGTCTTCGAAAATGCTACTGTTATCCACCCAATTCTTAGTCGACAGGCGAACTACATGGTCAGCTCCCGGCTCAAACACCTCTACTGGGTGGAGCTTTTGAGTAAGGTTTACGCCTTCGGACAGCTTCCCGAGACCTTTACCTGAGAAATGCACACAGTTAAATCATGTCAATAGGCATCACTGAAAAGCAGGACATGAAAAATAAAATATCTATATTTATACATATAGTGCTATTTCAGATGAATATGAGAGCTACTTGTGGCATTTGTACCCTCAGATAGTTCTTGAATGATCAGGAGAGCAATAAAATCCACATTTTAAGATTTTCCTTTTATAATATACTGAAACTCAGTCAATGAAATTAACTTAATTCGTGCCCTTTTAAGATGATATGCACGATGAAATGGCACTATAAATCTGCCTGTTCGCGTGAATAATTCAAAACCAAACACAGACTTCAAAAAATCACACGATGTCATTTTGTGCGGCACTATAAATCTGCCTGTTCGTGTGAATAATTCAAAACCACAGACTTCAAAAAATCACACGATGTCATTTTGTGCAATGCGAACTCTGCCAATCCCAGCAGGGAACGGAGTGGCCACCGCGGCTTTAAAGTAAAGTACGTGACATTTCAACTCCGTGTTACTAATCTTTGTCTGGGTCTTCTCCTTGAATACTGATGCGTGGCATCACGATACGGTCACGTGTCAAACAGATGAAATTTGTAGAAACTTAAGCCACATCACATGCAGGTTTATAGGCACATGTACATGAAATGCACTGACATTTTGAGAATGTTGTGAGAGACACTTTTCTTAAAAAAAAACCATGAATATGCCAATATATCAACTACAGAATCTCATGGTCACAGATAAAAATGAGTCAAGTGTAAGCAAAGACACATGTAATTTCCAATCTCACAACAAAATATCTAAAATATTTTCTCAGATGTTTTGCTAGAATCAACTCAATAGAATAGATACAAACCAGAAAATACTAAAGATTTATACGGAAGATAAAATATATCCCATGTTGTGACTATTAGGGGTTGGGAAACTCTGTTTCAATTGGGTATACTTTGTTACATGTTAAAATTTAGCTATAACACTTTATCATAGATTAGAAATTAATTATATAGTTACTGATAACACGAGAGCTTCATTAAAACATGGCACCATGGAAGAAACGAAGCCGGTGACATTAGCTGAGCAAAGCCATTAAGATTGAGCACCGCTGAAACAGAATGCAATTAATTCTGCCTTTGAAAATCAGAAATATTAATATAACAGTAAGTAGCATAAGCTTTTGAAAAAGAGCAGAGCGAGTGTTTCATTCAAACTAGTAACGGCACAGAAAGAATATTTCCGATTAACTCCATCTTCTTCTTCCGCCTGGACTAGGGAATGTGAGCCACGTGAAAATCAGAGTGACGACGAGGAAATCGCCAGAAAAAAAATGCTGGCGCATGAGACCCCAGTCTCTGAGGAGATGCCGGGGACTCCGGCCGAGCACGGAGAAGGGGGGTGCGCGGAAACACATCCCCACGGGCACCGCAGTTATCATTTTTGGAGCGTTTAGTGATATCAAGATGTATCGCTTCAGTGAAAAAAATGTATGTTTTTCTTTTTTCAAAGATCGTGCTCAAGACCCGTAGGAAAAGGGGCTGTGGTGTCTTTCCTGTGAGCGTGGCGGGACACGCCTGCAGCAGGGTGGGCTGGGGGAGGGGACGCTGCTGGGTCAATGAAAACACGGATTCCTGAAAAAGAGCGGAAACGGATCAGTGAGGGGGCTTCGAACTCCTGACGCGTGTGACGGGAGATGCTGGCCGCGAGGCCCTCGGGCTACGTCTCGCATCTGCAGAGAGGCTGCAGCGTCGCTTACAAAATCACACGCACGGCACTGCCCAGCCTCCGAAAACAACGCGTCCAGCGTGAACGTGACCGAGGCCCACTGCCCCACGACCTCGGTCCCGCTGGCCCGCGTGACTCTAGTCAGGCCACCTGTGGCACAGTGTCCTCACGGGGCAGGGCTGGTGAGAGGGGACAGCAGGGCTCATCACGCTCGGGCCTTGTTTCCATGGAAACAGCAAACCCTCCGGGGTCTTCGACTCTGTTTTCAAAAATACAGGGGCCGCGATGTCGTGTCTTTGCCCTGAACACGTGATGCCCGTTTGAACTCTCGAGAAATGAGATGCTCTTAGTTACTAGAGAGTTTCCCATCACTGCCTTTAAGTGGAACTTCTGTGAGGAGGTAAACAGGTTCCTCATCTCACTCGGTGTCTAATTCGTCCTTGAGAGTGAACTGTGGGCTCCCCGGGAGGAACTATTGCCCGTGAACGGGAGTCCTGAGCATTTAGGAGTCTGAGGGAAACGCAAGCCCCGCGTTAGTCGGATGCGAAGGGGCCGTGAGAGGCGGCGAGAGCGGTGAGCGGAAGTCAGGGCGTGAGCGTGCCGGGCAGACACGCGGGCGTCACGGCCCCTCACAGACGTGAATGCGCGTCAACGTGTGTTTTCATAAATGACACACGACTCCATCTTCCTCGCCACTATTTTCTCTGTTCCCATCGAGTCTACCTTTCTTCTCATCGGACATGTGGAAAAGCATCCCAAAGAGCGCCTGACGTAAAGCACGTGATCAGCAAAGGCCCCTCTGCTTCCCGCCCCCACCAATCCTGCCAGGTCCGATGGGCTTGAAGCACACGGGACGCCGTCTTTATGACTCATCAGGAAGCACGTGGTTCCTCTGAGTCGTTTCCTTCCCTCATTCTACTCCCTTGTTCGTCTCCCGATGTTACAGAAACCCAGCCAAACGCCGCTAAAATCCTAGTTCCCGAAACCATTCGGGGAGGGAGACGGCTCTGAGTCGGAAATGCTTTTTTAAAGTGCCATCGAATTAGGAGGATTGTGTAACCGAAACCACAGACTGACGGGCTGTTCTTGAGCCCGTTATCTGGCATCCACCAGCAGACAACAAAATAAAACGGATGCCCGAATCTGCGTGTCTGTGAGTCGGGACACGGAGGAAAGCGTGTCAGATCCGTGTTGCAGAATGTCTGCCAGGAGGGACAAGTATCCGCCATGCAGAAACATTTCCGAAAGCAAACTATCCTTCCACGCACCTTACGGACAGCTTCCCAGCCTTGGGTCCCCTGAGCTAATTAAGTAAAACGAAGGTCCCTGACCTTATGCTCTCTAAAGCGACATAGCTCGATTGCTGTTGCCGTCGAAACCCACAAATCGAGTCGATGTGAACTCGACAAACGAGATAGATAGATTCTGCACCGACATCGGTGGTGCAGACCGAGGCGCGGTCATCCGGTTTACGGTGGCGCGTGCGTCCCCGCCACGGGGCCGGAAGGGTCGCCGCGTGCACGCGTGGAGCCCCCGCTACTTACTGCCGTCACCCGCCGTGAGGCTCTCCTCGGTGAGGGGTGTGCCACAGCCCCTGGACGTGCAAGCCCGCACGTAGAATTTGTACCGGGTCGCGGGGCTGAGGTTCGAGAGGTGCCAGCTGGGCTTCGAGGGGCTCGTGATGTTGACGGCATTCAGTTCTCCGACTTCGTAGGTGTCATTTACTGAGGGCACAAAGAACAATTCCCCATGATTCACAGTCCCCATGATCCGAGCGACGCTGTCCCCGATGTCTGCTTCTATGATGCTCGAGGTGTGCGAGGCGCCATCTGAATCACTCGGCGCCATCGACTCGTTTAATTCTGAGGCCGACGCAATTATTGTGACTATAACATACGTGGGGGAACTGAGGTTTCGTAAGGATAAGCACCTTGCCTAGACCTAGGGCTAGTCACTGGCTCAAGGTCTCTGATAAAAAATACGAAACTATGTTTTTTGGTACCCACTGGCATACTGCTTTTCTTCTAAAACAGACTTGGGCAAACCTTTCGGAAAAGGACTAGATGGTGACTTTCAGCCTGTGTGGCCCATGCAACCTGTCACACTACTCGACTTGGCCACTGCAGTGAGAAACGGGTACAGACACGTGTAAATGAATGCGCACGGCCGTGTTCCAATAACTGTTTTCTTTATAAAAACAGCAGTGCCCGGAGGCTCCTCCGAGCCAGCCTACGGGTGCTGTGCTGTCGGGAAGTAGGTGGCCTGCAAACCATCATCATCGGACCCTCAGCATAGCGAGCCAACTCCTCAGCCAAAAAAAACCCAAACGGAACCATGACTGGGTGACTCCGCAGAAACATGTGCGTACTTATCTGGTACTGCAGCACGTAGCCAGTCAAGTTTCCGTTCAGCTTCTGAGGCAGTCCCCAGGACACGGTGGCGGTGTCCTTGTCGATCTGGACGACCTTGAGGAAGGCGGGCTGGCCAGGAACTGGGAAACACAGGGCCCAGGGCAGACACTCGGGCATCGGCCGGGTTTCAAGGAGGCCCGTGAGCATCGCTTTCCCACGGGCAGCGAGCGGCCAGCTCGTGGAGTCCGCGCTCACGCTGCTGCGGGGAGACGCCCGCGTCGGCCCTGGGGAGGCCGCCCCCGCCCCCGCCCCCGCTCACCTCCTTCTGGTGTCCGGAAGGCGTGGGGCTCGCTCTCGGGGCCGGCGCCCCGGGAGTTGTAGGCCGCGACCGTCACGTGGAACTCGCTGAAGGCCTCGAGGGCCGGCAGCATCCCGGAGCTTCTCGGCCCCGAAAAGCGCAGCACGTTCACTCGCTTGGGGAGCGTCCGTCCGTCCAGCAGGCTTCTCGTTTTCCACCAGTTTATCTGCAGCGAACACAAGAACCGTTCGGCGAGTCGGCCACGCGGCGGGCCCTCCGCTCGGCTTCGGAAACCGGGGCTGGCGTGCAGGAAAGGGCTTCGCCCGGCGGCGAGGACCGGGGGCTCCGACGCAAACCTCATATCCTCTGAGGTGTCCGCGGACGCTGTCCTTCGGCACCGCTGACCAGGTCACTTTAGCCAGCGTGCTGTTGATGACGTCCACCCCCCGGATCTCGGGGGCCGCGTCGGGGTCTGTGGAGCGGGAAAGAGCGACCGGCTTTGGAGAAACCCGGACATGCTGGGGCCGTGGCGCCCTCGGAAGCAGGTGACCAGACCCGCAACGCAGCTAACGTCACTCGGGACGCTGCTGAGCTGATCCGCGCACAGCCAGCGGCAGCCGGGCAGGTGCCGTGCGCCGGGCGGTGGCCAGGGCTGCCGTCTCGGGTCAGAGGGAGGACGTGGACGACAGTGAGTATCGCTGTCATTTCACGTCTCTACCTTCTCCCCCCTCGTGTCTAAACATGACCGTGGGCGCCGCGGGCCGAGGGTCACGCCTGCGGCAGTCGCTATGGTGCGAGCACGTCTGACTGCGACGTCGCCGGCACCCCGAGCCCCGGGCGTGTGTCTGCGTGTGCGTGTGACGCCCTGCACGATCTGGGCCTGGCTCACGGGCGTCGGAAAGGCCGAAGACGGCCAAGCCCCGGGCACGGCGGCAGGGGACCGTCACACGGCCTTTGCCGCACGGAGACAACTGGGACCAGAAGCCTGAGGACGACCGTGCTGCTTAGCTGACGGTACTGATTTTCCACGTAGAAACAACCGTCCTGGGAAGTTTAGGAAAATCGAAACTTCCCGCACATTCCGCCCCACCCCCCTCTCCTGATCCCGTCCCGCGGCTGACAACGCGGGAGCCAGGGCGACGGTTCTCCGCAGCCCTCTGCGGCCGGGGCCGGGGCCGGGGCGGGGCCCAGGGCGTCACTCACAGTCCTCCCCGGAGTAGAGGACCACGGCCTGGGGTGCGGGGCCGGCGCCCAGGTGGTTGACGGCCTGGACCTGGACCTCGTACGGGGCGTAGACGCTGGACGTCATCACCCGCAACGTGTGGTTCCTGACGGTTTCTTCCTCTCGCTCCACGGGGGCCCCCTGCGGCTTCCAGGTCACCCTGTACTCCAGCCCCGGCCCGTTCTGCTCCATGGGCTTCAGCGGCTGAAACGGCAGACAGACAGACACGAGGGGTCGCAGGCGTGCCGCGTCGGGGACGGGGACAGCCGCCCGGGCCGCAGGGACACCGCAGCGGAGGCCGCGTCCGGAGGGGCTCGATCCCCCCTTTGCTTTGGAAATGGCTGCGGAGCCCCTCGTGCCTGTCTTCCAGTTTGTAAGTGATACAAGCTCAGCCCCCCAACTCGCAAGAACCCCCTGCAGCTCAGCGTGTCTAGGTGGGTCCCCGCAGGTCCTTCCAGGGGCCTGAGGACCCCGTGGAATGGCTGGCGAAACTTGCCGTGTTTAATTTTCTAGAGAAGGAGCCTGTACTCCTAGCGTATTGTCGAAGAGACCCAGGACGAGGCGGCGTTATGACGACCGATCTAGGAACTGGACACGCTGTCCTGCCGCCCCGACTTCGTCTTAAAGCAGGCGGGTTTCTTCTCGTACTTGCAACAGAAATGATAAGATCTGGGGCCTTGGGAGTGGAACCCTCGGCTGTGACCACGCCATCAGGCAACTGAAGACATCCCTATTGCCAAACTCTAGTGGGTTTGGGTTATTTTGGGGGGGGGGGTTGCTTGTGTCTCTGAGATTAGAAATTTGCTATTTAATTGACTCTCAGACTTAACATAAATATATGCTTAAGAACAGGAAATGTCAAGTGGAAATCATTCTGACATAATTATTTTACTGATCAGGCCGCAGTGGGCTCTGTGTATTTTTTTTCTTATTTTTTTCCTTCATAGAATTTTTCATTGAATGACGTATTATTTTATTTCTGATGTATTTGCTTATTGTCTGTTCCTCCAACTAGAAAGTACATTCCACGAGAGCAAAGAAAGACGTTAATATTCATTTGTTCCTTGTTCTTTTCCTGCCCTATATAAACCACGGACCTCACAATACATCACTTTCGACTGCATCATGTTCAACGCTAAAACGTGAAACATAAAGCAAACAAAAACGAGAGACATCTAAGCCTTCCTACTGCTCAGCGGAGCTGTTAATCCTTCTTTAAAAACTACTTTCTTCCCCAGATCGTTATCTTGGAGACGGGAACCCTTCAGTCAGTCAGTCCCAGGAGGGGCTCTGGTGACTCCCTCCGAGTCTGCTTGTCACCTGGGAGCTGTCTGGCATCTGATCACAGGGTGACCCACGCAAAACCGCCACCAGGGCAGATGTCCTAAGACTTCGCGGGGTGTGCCCGCAATTTCAGATCTCTGATATTTCAGAGCAGTAAGCACGATGGGGCGCAGCAGGAACGCAGCGGCCAGTGTGGCCAGCTCCTCCCCCGGCCGCCTGCCCCGCCCTCTAGTCGGGCAACCGCGAAATCACTGTCCTTCCTCCTCAGAGACCGCTGCACACTGTCCTGGCGTAATCCCACTGACACAAGCAGAGGGCGCGAGTGGCCAGTCTCCCGCACCTTTGGGGAAGAAAGGAGTGGCCTCTGAGGACGGGCAGCAGGGAGAGCGAAGGTGCCTCCTCGTGAGGTCACCGCATCCCGAGTCCGCTGCCCGTCTGGAGGGCGAGGCTCCCGCCAGGAGCTGCTGCTGCTCCCACAGGCACAGTGTGGAGTGACGGGGGACGTTCGTGGGGCACGGGGCGCCTCCCTGAGGACCCCGCCTGCCAATCACAGAGTGCGGTGTCTTCGTCACCTACCCAGTCGTGGCAGCACCCAGCTTACGAAATTTCCGTGGAACTTAAGTGGTCAGACAGAGATACTCTGAAAGAATGACAGGCTAACGTGACGTGAGACGACGAATTAATTAGCGAGACAACGTGGTGGCAACTGCTTATGACCACAAGTTCCAGGAGAGAATAATATTGTTCGACGTACTGAGTTCCTGTGCATCATCGATTTTTTTTTTCAAATTTTAAATTTGTAAAACTTAATTTCACTGGAGTGGGAACAAAGGGCTAGTGTTGATTGAAAATATTAACTGAATATTTTGGGGGTATGGGCTACATGATGAGGTAACGAGGGGAAAAAAATCGAACTGAACTTCATACGCCTAAAATTCTCTCGAAAAATCATACCTGGGCTGAGGTGCGGAAATAAATTCCAGCACACATTCAAAACCGTCCTATACTTATGTAAAATTCAATGACTCCGGTGTCGGAGGACTATTACTAATCAGGCTGGTCGACTGCTAATCCACTTGCCAGTAGGTTAAAATGCTCGTTCGTGACGTACGTCCACGTAGCAGAGGGAGAAAGCTATCCGCCATCACGGAAGACATGCAGACACGACACACACACGTATGACAGTGATCGGGGCGGAGTCGAGGCCGCGGGCCCGATCTGAAGAGGAAAGTCCATTCGTAACTTAACACACGGAAGGGGGAGCAGCACCCACGCCTGACCTCTGGCTTCGCTGGATCCTAGTGGGGACGGTGACCCCGCCAGTCAGCCGCCGCTTCTGCAGCGGGAACAAGGTGTCGAGGACACTTTCATGACGAGGCTGTCCTCAGAATGAGACGTGAGCGTATGAAATGGGGCGGGGGGCGCGGCTATTATCTGGGAGTCATTCTCTTGAGGTGCTGACTGTTTATCAGACCGTATACTAAAGTCAAGTGAAATGTTAAGGGTTTGGGTGCTTTCTGAATGGAAGAAAAAATTAGGGTCCCAATAATAAAAATATTAGGAATCTGAAACTTTTGGTAACCGATTACAATTAAATCAACCTGGATAATCTCCAATAAATTATTCACCACTGCAAACCTCAATGTCACGGCATTCTAATCCAAATGATCTTTAAAATCCACAAAAAAAATCTTTATAAAATTTAATAAAATATCCAAGTTTTTTTTGTTCTTAAAAATACTGCTGTATCGTTATACTTGGCATGCAGACCTGAAAGAAAGACGAAAAAAGAAACAGAGACGCACATAATACGTTAAAGAATACGCACCTCCCATTTTATAATCATTTCCTTCGGCTGAGAGGCTTGAACCCTTATGTTCTGTGGATTCCTGTCCGGAGCTGGAAAGTCACAAGCATTACGGTGATTTTTTTCCTATCACATGGTCCACGGGTAAATCATCACTCCCTCCTCCCCCCCCAAAAACTATATTTAAACAACTTTTATATGCTTATTAATTACTCTAGAGCTGAGTTCCTACAAAGATTTAAGGCCGCTCCCCCCACCAGCTTTCCTGAAGCTTAAGGTTACAATGTAATGATTTGATATGTGAACGAATATAAATATGCACGTGTGTTTCCTATTTATATGTATATGCCACAATAAGATTAGTTATCACACCCATTATCTCACAGGCGGCTTTAAAATATATTTTTTATTTAAAGGAGTAAAGTAGTGTCCTTGGAGTGATGTAATTATTCAGTGGCGAGTAGATGGTTTACTTTACGTATCTTATTTTTAAACCTGCTCTTTAAAATATTAAACTTACTTTTTAAAGCCCTACACCTGCTTTTTAAAAACACGTTTTAATTTTAAAGCTACTTTACTTTTTCTATGACTTTTGTCGGAAATGTATGTTGTGAATATTTGTCTCTAAGCTAATAAGATCAAACATCGTCTATTAACATGAGTAGCTAAATCTAAGGACAGGAAATACACTGAGCTTGGTCCATTTTATAAGAAACAGCTCGGTGTGGAGCTCAGAGCCAAGTCCCACTTGGCTCACACAGGCCCCTGGGCAGGTTATTGCCGCCACCTGCTCTTCCTCAGTCCCAAAGGGGAGCTCTACCCTGGCACATTTATTCCACCGAGGGGCAGAATCGCCGTCCCGTGGGGCGGCCACACTGACGGAGCAAGGCCGATTCGGAGACGTGATTTAGGACTACTCTCCTTGGGATCCTAACAACAAGAAAGTGTCTGGAATTTAGATAGAGATCGAGATACAAAAAACACACTAGATGCGTGAAGTCGGCGGTGGCGGAGACACTGGAAACCTGACGAGGGGCCTGGGGCGGGTCCCACGCTCGGTCAGAGGCCGAACTCTCCACTGTCCCTACTGAACTTCAGCTGCGAATCTGATTTCAACAGGACGCTGGCCACCGGGAGCTGCACAGAGCGCGCGGCCCACGCTCCTCCCGCTGGCTCCCCGCTCCGCACCGGACGCTCCTCCCGCAGCTGGGGGCGCCCGAGGTTCGACCACGCTGTCCCAGGGAACACCCGAACCCCCCGCACGCTCTGGCCCTCTCAGTACTTTTCTCCTTCCCAGAAAGGCCGCCGCCCCGCGGGAAGCCGGCGCGGGAGGCACCTACCTGCCGGAGGCGTCTCGTGGCGGTCGGATGGCCGGCTCGGCTGGCTGCGCCCCACCTCGTTCACGGCGCTGACTCGGAACTGGTACGCCACGTACGGGGCCAAGGGCAGCAGGGCGGTCGTCTCCTCTCCCCGGACCCGCGCCAGCTCCTCCCACCGGCCGGGGTCCACCTTGTTTCCTTCAAACTCTATAATGTACTCTAGCGGGGGGACAGGGGACAGGTCAGGGTGGCCTGGCGATGGGCAAGGGGACCTGAGCTCCACGCACGAGCGTACAGCTCTGCGCTAACCCGCCGGCTGCGGCCAGCAGGGCTTCGGGCCCATTTCCGGCCTGGAGCGTAATTAAGGGGCACCTGGCGGTCCCTACCGCTGATGTCGCTGTTGTGGGCGTCTCCGGCCTCCCACGTCAGCCGGACACTCCTGTTGTGTCTCTCGGACAAGCGGAGGCTTCCCGGGGGGTCCGGGACATCTGATCAGAGGGAACGGGGACAAGGGGACAGTGAGCGGAGTGCAGGCCGTGGCCTCTGTTCGTCGGCCCCTCCCCCAGGCGCCCGCCGGCCCGCTCCGGGCCCTCTGCTGGCCGGGCTGTGCACACCTCAGGGCACGGCCACGCCTGTCCCGCCCCACGTGTCTCATGGCCTCTGGCTGATTATGGTTCTGCTCTCAGCAGGGCCCGGAGCTCTGGCAAAGGCGGCAGGACGCGGCGTTGGAAGGAGCGGGCGTGGCACGGACAGGTCAGGACAGAAACTGGAAGGCGGAGCCGAGGCCAGCGCGAGAGCTGACACACGTGGGTGTCTGTGGTGCTTTTACAGCAAAGCGACAATGACAGAAGCCTCGTCCCTAACGATCCCCCTCCCGCGGCTGGTGGCGATTCTCTCTCGCACCCCGAGACGCCATCAGGTCCCGGAGGAGACCACGAGCGTCACAGCCACTGTCCCCTCACCCCCCACCCCGGGCTCGGCCCTGCCCCCGCTGAGTGTCCACTGCCAGACGTTTGTAGTGACCAAAAAACGTGTTTTCAATCTGGAGGACATGTTCCTGCTTTAAACGTGGCCCGTGTCCAACCAAACGTCACGGCCCTGAACACGACCTCCGCTCCGAGGGCCACTGTCCCCGCCTTAAAGGACGCGTAACATCCAGGCTTCAGGAAGAAACGTGATCAAAATGGGTCAAGTGCGTGCTCTAAAACCTATTCGCCAGGTCAAGGAGCGTTTCAGACGCCGTGCACGGGTCTGTCGTTTGTCACCGTCAGCTGTGGGGCGGGAATCTAAAAGCCAGACGCTGGCCTGAAACATCTGCACGTGAACTCTGAGAAGCTGTCGAGAAAACACAGCCCACCCCAGAGCGCATTCTCTAACTCTATTTTTATCCTACAAATAACTGGTAAGGACCCTACATACGAACAGCACATCTAATCGTGGCCACTATTTATTTAAAATTGCCAAAGACTCAGGGTTCTAGAGGACAGCCTGATGACAAGACCGAAATGTGACGTTTTATGAGGAAACTTAGCGTCGCCAAGACAGCACTGTGTGGCGAGCCCCAGGGGGACACGGCCAGCCGGCAGGACGGGGTGTGGGGCACAGACGCCCGCCCCTCTGCAGCCACCAGCTTAACAAAGCCTGAGGGTGGTGGACCAGGCAGAGACCTGGGGGACAGTGGAAGGCAACGGAGAGACACCCAGCAGGTGGTGACTTGAGGGGTAGCGGGGGGCTGCTCCAGCGGGGGGCGCACACTGCTTTCCCCAGGACTGGCCTCCGCCCTCGAAGCCCCTGCCACCCTTCCCGGTGCCCCGGACCTCAGCGTCTGTCTTGGTCTGGGGTGCAACCACAGTGCAAACGCCAGGGCACCCGTCCTGACCCCGACCCCCGGGACCCGTCCTGACCCCCACGCCAGCACCCCCGCTCTGACCCCCGCACTCTGGGGGGCGCGGCTCCGCGTTTGCTCCCAGAACTCAAGCGGGGTTCAGCTGTCCGGGGGGCAGCGTCCTGCCTCCCTCGGCCGTGAAGGGAGCCGCCCCCGGGGGAAGGGAAGTCAGGCTTTCGCCGCCTTCTCCGCAGGCAGAGGAGGTCGGTGTTTGAAAGCGGGTCACTGTCTAAGCGGACGAGTCGAGCCAGCAGTGCTTGTGCAGGGGCTCGAACACCAGCGCTGGCCGAAGTGACCAGGGGACCCGTGTGCAGTGGGAGGGGCCGCCCGCGACTCACCGAGGACGGTCACCCGGGTCTCCTCCGTGACGCTGTCCAGGGCGGTCTGTGCTGAACAGGCGTAGACGCCCTCGTCCTCCACAGTGACGTTGGACACGGTCAGGTTAGCTCCGTCCACGGTTACCCTGCAGGGAGAAGCCGGCCGTGACGGGGACAGACACAGCCACGCGAAACCAACTCCTGCCAGAAACGCGTGTCCCCATCCAGCGCCATCAGGGAACAACAACAATAATGATAATGATAATAATAATAGCAATGGTGACGATGGTGACGATGACGGCGACGAGCACTTCGCGTGATGTGCGCTCCCTCCGAGGACGCCCCAGCTGGACGCTGAGGCCAAAGCACCGCCCCCCGCGTCCGCGTCCGCGTCTGGTTGTTTCCGGCGACGCCTGGGTCAGTGACGACGGCCCGTGTCACCGGGTGTCTGGAGAGTGCACGGAACCAGCAGCGTCTGGGCCACACCCGGATGGCCCTCGTCCAGACGTCTGGGAGCCGTCACTGGGGTCGCAGGCAGCATCCTGGGTGGCCCGCCAGCGTCCCCGAGCGCGTGCCTGGGGTGCAGCCGAGGACCTGCTTCCTCCCCGTGTCCCTCTGCACCGGCTGCACAGGGCGGGGCCTGCTCGCGGGGACGCGGGCGTCTGTGACACTAGGTGGCAGAGACTAACACTCTTTTCTTTTTTTTGCCAATCACTTGGAAGTAGCTTTTATCATTTGCTCCATTTTTGCTGATTTTCAGTCTAGCTCACTATACGAAAACATTTTCTGCGAACGACAGCTTCTGCGGGGCCTGTGTGACGTTAACCTAACTGCGCGCGTGGCCGTGTTAGTGCGGTGCCACCAATTCCAGACACGTTCCCGGCAGGTTGCTGTTTAGCTGAGAGAAACAGCGTCCTGTGCGGAGGCAGAGGGACCCTCCGTAAGTGGCGTCTGAACGTGACGCCGAGGAGCCGGACCGTGGGAGGCGCTGCGGGCTGCGGTGACACGGCTTCCTCGTTCACGGCCACAGCGGCCGGCTGCACAGCCCGAGGCGCAGGCCCGAGCCGCGTGCCCGTTCACGTGACCGGCGACCCCGTGGCCCCGCATCAGGGCGCACGCCGACCGTCCCCGCAGGGTCGGCCAGCTCCTCACACAGGGCGGGTCCTCGGTGTGGGGCTGACGTCGGTTTGAAGAGGAGGGTGTGAGACGTGGGGGGCGGGGAGCCCGGGGAGGCTCCGTCCTCGTCATCAAGGAAGAGGCCGGAAGGGGGAGCAGGGGACGCAAAGGTGACAAAGCGTTCCGTTCGGCAGGGGCCACGAGGCGGGGGTGTTGGCGTTGGGGGCATCACACTCGCTCTGGCGCCACAGTCTCTCCCACGGGACTGCGTCCTTGCTCTGCCCGTGGTCACCAACGGTCCCCGTCACGCTTGTGCACATGTGGCAAACAGTTTCCCATCACGTCCGTCCTCCACTGCGTTTTTCCCGACAGTCGGGTCTGACTCACAGCCGCCGGCGGGTCAAACACCCGCAGGAGCCCCCCGGGGTGTCCCGGCCCTCGGTTTCCGTGAGGTTGACGGGGAGGTGTGCAGGAGCCATGACGGGCGGACGGCATCCAGGGGCAGGGGTGCAACAGTCAGGGGGACCCCCCTCCACACGACAGGGAACGGGGGGAGCATAGGAGGAACCGTCACGTTACCCTCCGTATGCCCCTCGATCAGAAATCTGCCGTCTTTCTGGGTAAAACCTGCTGGTCGTCAGCGAGGGATGTGGGCACGGGGACCGGGAGGGTCAGCAGGAGGAGCTTGGCGACGTCCTCCCTGCCACGTGCCCCTTCCCTGCCCCTGCTCGTCGCTCCCGCCTCCCCCCACCCCCAGACCTCTGCTGCCCCTCCCCCCCATTCCTCGTGGACCGAGAACTGGAAAAACATCCGTGTCACTTGCGGGGTCACTAAGGCAGCCAGAGGCACATCTGAGTGTCACCCAAGACTCCTACGGGAACTACGAAGCTGGGCCGCACAGGGTGCATCCCCCACAAGGCGAAGGTCTGCGAGTCTCTTCGTGGCTGGAGCCCCGAAGTCACACGGAAGTCCCCAGGACAGCAGTGACAAAGAGGGTGAGCAGCGAGCGGAGGCACGGAGGTCTCACCCGGGGCCGACGACGTCTGCTGTGACGTGTGGCCTTCGAGGGGGCAACAGGGACTGTCCTCGCCCGGGGGCTGGTGGCAGCGTGTGTGCGGCCTGTCTGCCAGCTACACGGACGGGGGAGGGACGGGCGGGAACGAGGACGAGCCACGGCAGGGCCGGCGCTCTGCGTGAGGTGGCAGTGCACACGCGTGCACACACACACACACGCGTGTGCGAGCAGAGGCCAAGCAGGGAACAGAAATGAGACGGGGGACACGAGCCACACGCGGGGCTGAGGAACGCGCGTCGGAGGCCGGGCCAGGCCGAGCGCTGTCTCCGAGCCTGACGTGTCCACGCGTGAGACCTCGCGACGGAAAAGCACGTACGTGTTCTAACCAAACTACGTTATAAAATGTAACTTAAGCCGCTTGCCCAAGGCCACGGGGACAGCAGTGGGACCAGAGCCCGGCCCCCTGCTCCACGCTGCCGCCGCCCCGGCTGAGGCCTGGGGTTCGCTCCTCCCGCCTGACGAGACACAAAGCACAGCTGTGTCTGTAACCCCACTGGGTGCTGCTGGGGGAGACGCGCTGACCCCGCCCCGCGTGCGGCCAGAGGTCACACCGGCCAGTGGCATGCGACGGCCCTTGGTCCTGCCCGCGCTTAACACCTCGCGCCGGTCACTCGCGCTCCTTCCACGATTCCTGCGTCCTTCTGCGGAGGCTGGAGGAGGCTGGAGGGCGCGGACACGCAGCCCACGGACACGCAGCCCACGACACGCCTCGCGCTGGTCACTCGCGCTCCTTCCGCGATTTCTGCGTCCTTCTGCGGAGGATGGAGGAGGCTGGAGGGCGCGGAACCGCAGCCGACACGCAGCCCACGACACACAGCCCACGGACACGCAGCCCGTGACACGCGGCCCACGGACACGCATTCAGTGGACACGCATTCAGTGGACAGGCATTCAGTGGACACGCCCCGCCGCGGCTCTCCCGTGGCGGCTCCAGCGTGGTCCATGACACGCGGCCCACGGACACGCAGCCCACGACATGCGGCCCACGACACGCAGCCCACGGACACGCAGTCCACGGACACCGGCCCACGGACACGCAGCCCACGACATGCGGCCCACGACACGCAGCCCACGGACACGCAGCCCATGACACGCGGCCCACGGACACGCAGGCCCTGCCCAGGACGCAGATGCAGGGCCGGGTGTGGCCGGCAGGGGCGGCCGCGGTTTCCGGACGCCCGCGTCACACCTGAGTGCCCTGTGACTGAGAACCCCGCGGTCCACGAGCGGCCCCTCTCGGCTCCCCCCCCAGCCCGTCCAATGAGTCTGTGAGCCCCCTGCGATACGCACGCCTCAGACTCCTGGGGTGACGTCTGTGTCACACCCCGACGGGAGGGTCCGTGTAACGTGGCGAACCGGTCACGAAACAAGGAGAGGCGCACGGGGGAGAGAGGCGCGACGCGCAGGCCTGGGACCTTTTCGGTGTTGCCTTCGAGACCGAGAGCGATCGACTGATTCCTTCCCTCCGTGCCGGGGTTTTATACCCGCTTTTCGTCGGGAACCGACCCACCTGCCGTCGTCCGTGCCGTTGGTTTCGAAGGCCTCACCGCCTTTACTCCAGGTCAGCTTCAGACTGTGCTTCAAATGTGAGTCGCACTGGCTCTCACAGTACAACTCGAGCGTGTGTGACTTGGGGACGCGCGGGCTCGTAGGAGAAATTCGAAGTTTCGTGGCATCTGTTTTTACCAAACAAAGACACTGGTTAGGACACAGGGCACAGCCCATCTTGCTATCGAAAGTCTGCAGTTCAACCAGCCACAGCCGTCAACTTAACAGTCAAACCTCACGCCGTGCTGGTCACCCCGGGACCCCGACGTCACCTACCATTACTAGCTCCTTTCCGTTCCGGCCCGGACAGCTAAGGCGTGAGGGGCAGCAGTAATTAACAGCCCAGCACCTCCCCTGACCATGTTCTGGGCTCAGGGAGTCAGGACCGTGGGAGGGAGCGAACGCCTCAAGGTGTACGTCTGTCTAACTGAGAACCCCGTGGGAAGGGGAGCCCCGGTGCAGACGCCTTGCCCCGGGGGGAGGGACGGCGGTGAGCCGTGGACGGAGGGGCTGGGCAGCTACACACAGCGGGCGCTCAGGACGTATCTGCCGACTTTCCCGTTGAGGGGCGGCGAGCGACGTCCGGAGCAGAGGGACAGCCACACGCCAAGCCGGACCGGGCGCCACGGCTGTGTGAGGAGTGAGTGCGTCCCCACGGCTGCTGCGAATGCGAAGCGCTCGCTCTGAAAGGCCTCGGGGGAGGGGCACGCACTTCGCCCCGGGGACACAGCTGGTGGCTCTGTGACCCTCTCAGAGGCCACCTCCCACAGGCTGACCTCTGGTGCCACGGTTATGCACTAGTGGGCACCATCTACCTGTTACTGAGGGATCCGATCGAAAACAGAGCACCGATAAAATTGACCGGCTGGTAGCCCAGGCACACAATGGAGGAGTCATCATCACGCTGAATTAATTTAGTGAATTACTAAGCATCCTACTCCTAATTCTAAATTTAGAGCCAGAAATCCACTTAGCAATAACACCACGTAATGGCACCTGCCGTGGTCACCAGGACTCTGCTAAGACGTACAGTCAACGACAATAACAATTCTGTGACTGTTATTATGTCCACCTGACAGACAAAATAATTTAAAGCTAAAAAGAAATTAAGTAATGACACCCAAGTCCGCTAACTGGTAAGAAGCTGAGCCGGGATTTGAACCCGTCTGGTGGGGACCGAAGCTCACGCTCCCCATCACTGCCGCCTACTCAGTTCCGGCTCGACGGGCCTCGCGAATGTGCGAAACGCGGCTCCTCACGGATATGACCCCTGTGCGGTCCCT